GGAACGAAGCCATTCTAAGAGATTTTTTCTCGAATATCTTCATTCGCCGATATGATCTTCAAATTCCTTTGATGTTTCCTTTTTTTTGTTATTTATTTCTAATCGCTTTGTCAGACTTCCTTATTCTCCAAAGTGCTATCGAAATGCACTATAGCACATTTACCTAACTTCGAGGATTGATTTTCAGACGGGTATGACTGAAGACGTGGATGGCCACGTCCTCGATAAGTATGACCTTCAGAAGAGGCTCGGCAAGGGAGCCTACGGTATCGTTTGGAAGGCAATCGATCGTCGGACAAAAGAAACTATCGCTTTGAAAAAGGTGTGTGAACATTTTATTGATTGCTATCTCTCTTTTCGGTTAAGCTAATCAATCTTGATATGACTTTTTTCTTACTTTGTTGGGGGTTGAAAAAATTCAGTACTAGCTTCATTTCACATACTAAACTATTTTTCTAAAATTTTTTAGTAATCCTATGACCCATGAAACCTAAGCAAAACCTCCACCACAAACACTTCTTTGCTCTAATTTTTTTTCAGCAAAAGTCAATATATTCAGTGCTTAGTAAAGATTTATCTTACTAAATGAGTAATTAATCAACTTTGACACATTTTTTCCTCAACCCCTATTCATTATTCCGCTTAATTTTCATAAATAATTGATTCGACACTGTATTGCCAAGCAACAAGCCATAAAAGAAGTATTGCATGCGTGGCATTGTTACGTAGGTGCTACAAGGGCCAGCAGATATAGTAATTTCCGAAAACAAAACGAATTGTAGCTCAGTTCTTTGAAAGTTACACACATTTCTCGTTATTATTGCGTGTAAATATGGGAAATCCAATAGGAAGCAGGAGGGAATGAATAACGATGATGTGATGTGAAAAATGCATAGTATATCATGGTAAACAGTCGGGATTTAGATATTTGCCAAAACTGTTAGAAAAATTCCAAACAAGTGAAAAATGCATAGTTTATTCTGGTAAACAGTCTGGATTTAGATAATTGCCAAAACTGTTCGAAAACTACCAAACAACTCATTAGCTTAAACGATTTTAGTTTTGATTTTTAATTTTTTTCTAAGCCATACTTTTACTCTTTTGATACTTTTTTCAGAGAATATAACCTTTTAATATCTTTTGAAAAAAAATCTGAGCCCTTCAAAACTGAGAAGTTGTTTTCCATCCTTATCTTTTCATCGTTCTTGTCAGCGATTTGCCGTAATGTGCGTTTTGTTAGCATATAACATTTAATCAGTTGAATGGATCAAAAGCAATCCACGAATTGATTATTCGGAAACAATTCGTAAGTCATGAAAATTTGAAAATTTTTTAAACATATTTCACTGCGAAACTACAGACAATTAAGTGAGTCCACCGTTTTGAAGGATTTGAGGGTGATATGTCTGGAGTAAAATTAATTAAATCGAAATAAATGCGGCTATTTTTTAAAAAAAAGTCTTACACATATGCGAATGCACCAAACAGCAAAGAGGATCTATAAATGAGCTCTCTAAAAAACATGTAATTTGATAAAGTGCACATTTTAAAATAGGTTTCCTTGATTTGATGTTCTATGAAGCCTGTAGGAATGATTAAGCATTACATGTCAAGCCATATGTTAGAAAATCACTTAAATAATTTGGGCCATTCTACTTTGACTTCGTTTCCTTCAATTAGAAGAAGCCTATAGTCAATTATTACAACTTCCTAGGGATCCATTGTTTAGATCTTCGAT